ATATGTGGACTAGATGCGAGGGAATTACAGATAAGCTCATAGTATGTGGACTAAATGCGAAGGAAGCAGAGATGAGCTCATAGATATGTGAACTAGATGCGACGGAATTACAGATAAGCTCAAAGGTTAGTGGACTAAATGCGAAGGAAGCAGAGATAAGCTATAGATATGCGGACTAGATGCGAAGGAAATACAGACAAGCTGATAGGTATATGGACTAAATGCGAAGGAAGCAAAGATAAGCTCATAGATATGTGGACTAGACACCCACAAAAATATTCATCAAACACCGCTACAGAAATCCCAAGTAAAAAGAACAGTCAAATTACAAGATGTTCAGCGCTAGGCCTGTTCATTGTTTTGCCCCCCCGCCTTGTGCGCGCATACGCTGACCAATGTGTTAGCGTGTGTGTCTGTGTATGCTACGTGTGCCTGTGTATGCTACGTGTGCCTGTGTATGCTGAAAGTACCTTGAACTGCGCCTTGTTGGCCTGCTGACTGTCCTTGTCTTCAACGGGCGGGTCTCCATTGTCCTGGTAATTGAACACAGCCAGTATCACATCAAACGCTCCAATCCACACTATGGAGTTGGCCTTGGCGCCCAGGTACATGTAGCCCAGGTATGTGGTGGCGACAATGGAACCGCTCGTGGCTATGCTCTGGTCCAATGGGAATACACAAGAGTTAAAATTTAACAACAAGGAGTAAATGAGAAGTTATAATCGAGAGATGACACCGGCACTGATTGACAGATACTTTATCATGTATGATACTACTAAACGTAGCCTATGTGTGAGATGTGTATGTGCATACTAATGCAGCAACGGTACAGATACACAACTGAATGTGAAATCATATACAAATCAAGAATGTCTCATTGGAGATGAATGGCGGCGTAGGTGTGACAACCGAAAGACAGTACCCATGCATCTGAAGGACAAGTGTAAGTGAGTAGTACTACTTAAGGGGATCTAGGCTCTGAGTGTAGTGGTCTAACTTTAACCTTTAACGAGTACTAGGAGTGAACCGTGCACATTCATCGTAAGCTCGTCAAAGGCGTATGTGTATACCCCCTTAAAAAAAGAGAATTAACCAATTAGAAAATACAGCTGAGAGATACCGCTAGTCAATCAATCAAGCAAGCCACTCGTCCCTACCTTATCCACCGCATTAGTGTACCGTATGCACAAGGCCACCAAAATGCCCCCTGCCGAGCCCAGAAAGGCCACACAGCAGGTGACCCCGGACCAGCCGTGCAGCACATTCACGTATCCGGGAGAGTGGTACATGGCAATAGGTAGGTAGATGCAGATGGAGTATATGGCCAGTTGGACATTCCGGTCCCACACAGTCAGGAGCACGGCCGACGTGGTTTTCTTGAGCACCTATGGCATTTTAACGGGACATGAGATACAGGTCTTTTGATACATATGTAAAGGGAGCAAACTACTGGTCCCGTATGATAAAGCCCAGGCGTACGACAGAACACAGCATGAGAAGGACAACAGTCCAAAAGTCCAAAAGGGTATGGAAATGGTGCACCTGGACGGAAGTCATTCGGTGCACGTAGAGCTTCGTTGTCATATGCACAGTGTGTGCATGAGCAACACAACCCCACTAAACTCATAAATTCGGACGCGTTTGTATGTAAGTGTATATTCTGCCATAGACTGTGCCTTTGAAAAGTACACACTAGCTATGTCTACGCCCAACAGTCATACAACTCCACACAGTATATCCTTTTCAAGGTTCAAAATAGATGGCAATTCTGCGTGCATACAGTCCTACGGTCCCACACATCACACCATCTAAAGGCAGACGATAAGTAAGCTGCGCCAAATGAATACAGCCCTCCACACCATACCTTCTCAAAGTAGACACTTATAAACCCGGACAGTAAGACCTCGCCCATCACCGCAGTGATGCCAATCATGAACTCTGAGCTCACACCGTCGTCAAAGGCATTCGCAGACACAGGCTTCGTCTCCAAGGAGATGAGTGTGGCACCAGAGACTACCAGCAACAGCGCACGCCACTTCCGCGCCGCGAGTTTCTTGCCCACTATAAAGTATGCAAACAGGGCTGTTGATAGGACCTGTATATAGAGGTGAGTGTATGGGACAGTTATCACGTGTTGAGTATGTGGGATATTGTCGAATGTGAGGTTGTATATGGTCTTGAGTGTGGTGTGGTGGCATATGGTTCAGGGTTTTGGGTTTTGGTGTGGTGACATAGGGGGGTTTCCAGCTCACAGCCAGAAACACTATACAGGGCAAAGGGAAGTGAAGCTGGTTGTGCACAACTGAAGCTTGTTTGTTAGTGTCGTTATTGTTTGTCTGGTACTGTATATAGTGGTAACAACTCACGGGGAGAACTCCTAAAGCCTGTGACGAACAATGACATGCGGTGATTGTGGTCTCGTACTCATTACGTAGATATGAACATACACGCGGAGGGTTTAACGTGGTCAAAGAGACCATGCAAAGGACCTGCCGTGTGACATGGCAACCACGCCTCAGTGATAGGCATGTATCAAACGGCACAGAACCACATGAATGAGAGCACGTCGCCCAGAACGCAGGTACAGTGACGTGCACAAGGGTTCGGTTCAAATTAACATGTCCTACTTAAGGGGCGTCGTCTGGGCAGAACAAGCCCAGGCCCACTTCATTATCGGACAGTGTCTATATCATTAACTATGCTTCTGTATGGTGAGTGTATTGGAGCGTGAGTGCTCACCCTGATGGGCGATGAACTTCCGCCATCGCGCACACACACTCAGATGACACGCCAACACTGCGTTCACATACATACAGACACACATGCAAATGAGAACTGTGAACTGCGGCCTATTGTGGACAGGCTAGACCACGTACAGCTGCACCCATTGCCCTATATTTCGGGTCACTGGACAACATAAATGAGGACAAAACTTCACACATGGTACACATCAAGCCACACCTCTTCGAAAAGTACGTCACCTTTATTACACGGCTACACCTCTGTAGGCATATAATTCTCTTAGACGCCTTGGGCCAAACGCTCGCATTGTACCTACTATACACTCAGTCATGTGCTTACATTGTACCTACCTTGCACTGAGCGAAAACGGTGAAGAGTCCAGCATCTATCCGTTCCAAAGCTACATAGCTGAGCAGATTCATTACCAGGTATACCACAGCGGGCACTACCATGGGAGCTGACGTCTGTGCACGTGTTAAAGTACACGCGAATGTGTCAGAGTGAGAAGCGCACATATTCACTAGTACATGCTCGCATTCACAAGTATGTCTTGTCTATCTGTGATCAAATATAGAAATATACAACAAGCGTATATCAACTAACAAGCGAGGATAACTGTATCTAATTGCATGTGATTGAAGACAAACAAGTATATGTACGTTTATATGGATAAATTTAAGTCCAATCATACTTGTAAACATACAATTCGATCTTGATAAACACATAGGTCTATACATATATTCACATAAAGATATGGTGCATAAGTGTGTGTTTATATATA